ATTCCACCACATGTGACAGTGTGGGTGGCCTGTCATGGGAATTGTGAATCTACCTGATTTATGACTTCCATCTTTAGACTCTGTTGTTTTGGCAATAATATATGTTCGATCTCTGCCCTAGCTCAACTCTTAAATCTATTACAGATTTTATTTATTTATCCACTTTGTACAAATTACATTACATAGGGCGATGCAATGACACAGATTAATCATGCGCATAATTATTTATAGATGTGTTTCTATATACAACATGACAATCTTATTATAAGTTATATACACAGTATGGGGTTGTTGGTTTAAATTACCATATATATATATATATATATATAAATGAATGTATGTGTGTGTGTCTGTCTGTCCTTTATGCCTGAACAAACCACTCATTGGAACGCCATGAAACTTTGGGAAATTATTTAGTATAGTACTGGGAAGGTTTCTGAAAAATAATTTCTTGAATATCTTGAATATCCTTAGAGTTATTTGCAGATTTGTAGATTTAACTCGCAAGCAGCGCCACCATTGCGACGATGATAACAAGTTTTTATCTATAAGTTTTTTATCACTAGGTTTATTATCTTAAAGATTATTTATCAAAAGTAAGATTATCTCAGGATGACACGGCAATTTATTTGAGACAAGAATGATGATACAATTCAAGGCGGAGATACTATTCCTTTAACTTCCAATTACCGAGGGAACCAATTAATATTGATTTTATTCAACTTATCGAATATTTTTCAAGAGACTGGGAAAAAATGTTCACTAGATAAAACGATGATTTTGTAATGTAGAAAATTAGGAAAGACAAAATTCAGGATGACACGGCAATTTATTTGAGACAAGAATAATGATACAATTCCAAGGCAAAGGTACTATTCCTTTAACATCCAATTACCGTGGGAACCAATTAATATTGATTTTATTCAACTTATCGAGTATTTTTCAAGGGACCGGGAAAAAATGTTCACTAGATAAAACGATGATTTTGTAATGTAGAAAATTAGGAAAGACAAAATTCAGGATGACACGGCACACAGGGACCGGGAAAAAATGTTCACTTTATCGAGAGATTCAAATTTATGAGTTTCAAATTATCAAAATATATCTATTATCTATATATATATAAAATTGAATGTCTGTTTGTCTGTACTCTATAGATTCAAAAACCATACATCCGCCGTGAAAATTTGGGATATTATTAGGTATATCCCTGGGAAGGTTTTTGAAAAATAATTTCTTGAATATCTTGAATATTCTTAGAGTTATTTGCAGATTTGTAGATTTAACTAAATGATGATGATTATTTATCAAAAGTAAATGGTTTTGTTTACAAACAATATGTGTATTCAATATGGTGGTCAATAGTCAAATAATCTGTTTTTTTTAAATTAAATAATATAATTTTTTTAATTATATAAAATTAATTTAGTAAACAAAATATTTATTTTTTGAAAATTCCTATTTTATTGGTAGTATAAAAATTTAAATATATAAGATTTTTTTTTGTAATTTTTAGTAAACAAAAAATATTAGAGAAATATATCTATCTATATCTATAAAAATAAATAGTTGTATAGTTTTATAGTTAAGTATTCTATTAAAATTATCTTCATTATTTTGATTATTTAAATTCAAATTATAAAATTTGTAAATTGTTATTATTTAGTATAGATAGAGAGAAAAAAAAAGTCCTTTACTTCTAAAACATCATCTAGTTAATTATATATTTATAATTAATAACAATAAAATTTAACAACGTAACGTCTTTTGCATCGGCTTTTACACGTCATTTAGACATACTCTATTCCTATATATAGAATAATAGAAGTGAGAATATATATGATAGTTAGAAAAAAGAGAGAAAGACAGAACCATGCACTTTTAATCAAACTAATAATAAGAAAACAAAAAGTTTTGTAAAGAAGGTAGATAAGATTGTTAGTATATATATATATATATATATTTTTATAATTTTATATTTTATCCTTTTTTTTTTAATGATTTTTTAATTTTTTTTATTTTAAAATATGAATATAAATAGTTGTATTTAGTAATATATCTATACTATGAATTAACTTTTGTTATAAGTTTGGTTATTATGTTTTGAAACCCTAATGGTAGACCAGACATATACAAAAAAATTTAAATTGGAGTAATTATTGAAAAAAGAGGTCTGCTGAACCGGGAATTCTCAAATAGAAATTCAGCGACAACATTTCATCCCTTCTCTATTATGTCATAGACCTCCTTTCAACCGGATTTTATGTGTTAATATAAAGTTACTTCAGTGAAACATTTATATGAACAGATATAATGTGTACCTACCTTGTCCGCGACGCCTTCAACTGTAAACATCTATTTCTGGATGACACATGTTGTGAGGGGGGGGGACAAAATTAGACCGTTTATTTTGAAGTTGTAGAAAAACAAGACATTCAAAGAAGAAAGAAAATATAGTTAAGGGAAGAAATCCAAATTTTATATTCTTTACAGCCAGTTAAATTAAAATAACTAATTCAACACTTATTCATCTTTCAATATTCCTTTAAAAAGGCAAATTATTAGAGTTTAATAAAGCTATTAATTGTGAAAATTCACTTTTATTTAATTTCCATTTTCCTCCCCAGAAATTGGAGATTAAACAAAATGAATTCTATACAATATTACTTTAAAAATCTTGTGAAAAAATCTTCAAATCAGCTATTTAATTTAAGTTTAACTAAATGTTAAAGTTTATAAATTTGTAGTAGTTATTATTGAGAGAAATTATAGAAAGTTGATTTAATAAATGGTTATTTCCATTTATTTTTTTAAAAGTATTTTATAATTGATATACTGTTGAAATATTTTACTTGTCTGATACTAAATTTGTTTTTAATAAATTCCATGTTTAAATTTTTAACATCTTCTATGAAATTTTCTAATACATTATTTATTCTATAAAATTTTCGTGTGTTTTTTCTTATGAATTATAGAGAGACAATTATGTCCTATCTACAAAATCTTAACGTTAATATGAGAATAATATTTAAATAATAATTTGGGAATATTATAAAATTTATTTAATTTAAATTCAATTTATGCAAGCATGATTAACATAGCAAATTTTTAATATTTACTCTCTCGACATTTCTTTTCACAGATATTCCAAATAGAAATCACGCATCGTCAAATATATAAATACATATAATTCATATATTATTCCAAAAATATAATTTACCAAATTTTATTAAAAAAACTATAATATCAATTAGATATAACCCTATTTTATCATAAGTAAACTACTAAAATAATTCTAGTCATAAAAAAACTCTCTTTAATATTTTATACTCATAAATAAATCCAATAAAAGTAAAAAAAGTTCCTCAATATTAATTTTTTAGAAATAAAAACTTTAAAATATTCAGGAATAATCTCCCCAATCAATTAATTATTGTTAACACAAAAAGAGAAGACAAAAAAATAAAGAGTTTACCGATAGTTCTTCTAGCTTTTTGTCAATTGGTGAAGAGGAGTTAGATGCCGCTTTTTTCTGTTACCCCTTTAGGGACAGAGCTCCTGTAAAAAAAGAACGATACAGGAGAAAGGAAATCCCTGGGGTCTTGGATATGCTTGAAAAAAAAGAGAAATATATTGGGGGTTCGACCCATGATAATCAGGCAGAGACCTTCTAGCTCAATAGTCTCAATTAGTGTTTGAAAGATTCCAATGGGGTATGATGAAATTAGAGATTTTACGTTTTTAGAAAAATTTTAAACATTTTTTACAAATTTTCTATCTTCCTGTTTTACAATTTATCGATTTTTCTTATTGTCGAGTTATATAAAAAGGTTAATTTAATATACGCTTTTTGAATATTTTATTGGCTAACTTTTTTTATTCTGGTTTGTTCTGTATCTAAAATGTAAATGTCAATTATTTATCTTTTTTTTTGCGTTATTTTTAGTAAGACTATTTTATTTGTACACTTTTTAAATAATTTTGTTTGTGTATAATTGTTATATTTTTCAAATATGTTAATGAAATATTAACAAGACAAATATAATTTGATATAACACCATATATATTATATTCAAACTGTAGCTTGAATCTCGGCACGACGGTCGAATTACCTAATTGTGTCGATAAACGCTCATGGACAAAACATAAAGAGATTGTAGCGTTCAGCATTTATATAGGGATTAAGACAATAACTCTGAAATATATTTGATACACAGTTACCTTTAAAACCAGCAACAGCAACGACCTTATGTTTGTTCATAAGTGTCCATAAACATATTTAAGATAATAGAAAGAATTTAAGATGTTGATATTAAAAAAAGGGCAAATCCTGAATGCTCAACTGATATTTTATATGGCAGAGCGCCATCTAGTGGAATATATATCAACTAAACGTTGATTTAACTTGTTCCGTGATTAATGGCCAACCCATTTGCTTGATAAATAAATGAAAGCCAAAACCGAACTGTTCCGGGTTGTTGACCCTCCTCACCCTATTGCAGACTGTATCTCGACGGCCAAAATATTTGGTTCAAAAGGCTTTGGTTTTAAATGAAGAAATGGGTATTCAAAGTCAAATTTACTTAAATAACCAGTTCATCTGAAAGAAAATTTAATTTAAAAAATAAAAGAAAAAGAGTCCGATGTTTATTATAAAACAGGGCATATTCCACTATATAGCACTTGGCCATCTAAACATGCTCATATGGGAGGTCAAAATTCCCTAACTGCTCTGTAAATATCGTCGTGTTTGAAACTTGGTTCAAATTTTCAATCAACATATCCAGATCTTTTTAATGGAAATAAAATAAAGATAGATTACTTCTAAATATTGAGTAAGATGAGTTTATATTATTATTTTGAGGTGAATATTATGAATGTATCATTAAATATATTAATAATTAAATACTAATTAATGTATTCATAATAATCACCTGAAATTAATATTTAAAACCTAATTTACTCATTATATTTCTCTTTTTTCTTCATTATAAACGAATGCCTCGATTAGGTTTAGAGGAGTCGGTAGAAGGATGGTCTAAACCGTTGGTTTTCTACCGCTACGACCCGGGTTCGATTCCCGCATTGGGCAATTTTTTTATATTCAAGACTGTAATTTTTGGGGCTCAAAAATCATCCATTTTGGAAATAAAGATATTTACAGCCTTGATTAGGGATTGCATTTGTTTGATCGTTATTTTGCTTAGGATGCGAATATTTATATTAAAGAATAAGAGAGAGAGAGAAAGCCGAAACATCAGCTTTGACCAATATACAGATATTCTAATCACTTTTAAATACTAGGACTTCAGATTAAGTTCTTCATGAGTAAAGGGTAGGCTATATACAGGTATCGCAACATTCTACAATAAAACTTCTTGTATCAATCTCATAAAAGGAATTTTCACCATCTCAATCACCTTCTATTGCCAAATTGGGCTGGTTTTTAAAATTTATTTTTCAGTCAAGCGCAATATTGAAATATTTACTCCTATTACACAGAAAACAATTCGAACTCAAAATTAAGTATTAACAAATTTAAATGTATTATTCGACAAAGATAATAAAATTTATATAGACAAAGCAGCAGATGTAAAAGAGATAAATCATTTATATCAGAGAACAATCGAGGTTTCACATCTGCAAAGTTCGGACAGTCATAGATAAGATGAAGTGCAGTTAAATTGGGCTGATTTCTCTTACCGCTGGAGGTTATACGAAATTCTGCAATTTCTTGTAATAATCAATGCATAGCTCGAATCGAATTTATACAGCTTGGCATACATCTAAAATACATTTTGTGAAGCTCTTGCACTCGATTTTTGCTCCGATTCTTGCCCTGTGTGTGTGTGTGTGTGAGCATATAAGAGAAACTAGAGAAATCTTCATGCATAATATATGATATTTTTGTCAATATTGCTTAGGACTATTACCTTGATTGTGATATGTATAGATTATAGAGGTTATATATAAATATTGCGAGAGAAAGACCAGGAGTGAGCCTGGTCAGGATATGCCTTTTTGTTTTTAATATCAACACCTGACCTCTTTTATATTTATATTGTTTTGTTTTTTTCATTTATATACATATCTGCCGAGGATAAACAGAGTATAAACAGAAAAAAGAAATTTATAAAGAATTCATATCTTAATTATTTGAAAATAACTATGTATATCTTCTATATTTATATAAAAATGAATGTTTGTATGTATGTCCGGTATACAAATTCGCAGTAGTTCACTAATTCAAACCAAAATTTCCATACATAGGTAAAAATATACGGGGAAGACGATAGGCTATTTTAAAAAATATATAAATCAATTATTAAAACTATATATTTTTAGTCAGAAAATGATGATGACGATATTGCTGTATCATGTTTGATTATCAGATACAAAATTATATCGGGAAAAATTCCAAAAAGCAGAGACCACGGGTGAAACCAGTTCATTATTTTATACGCAGGAACAAAATTCTAACAGAAAAAACATTCATTCGAGCAGAAAACAAAAGCCAGATCATCTCTTCTATAAAAATATCGCTTCTCAGACACAATGTTTGGAGCGGGACGTTTCACAAGAGTGACATCCACGGCGCCAATTTATATTTGTAACGAATAGTATTTGAAAATCAAAATAATATAATTTTCAAATATCGTTGTTAAAATTTACATATTTATTTTTATATTTTAAAAACACACAAAATTTGGAGCGGGACGTTTCACAAAGGTGACATCCACGGTGCCAATTTATAATTGTAACGAATAGTATTTGAATAAACACATTTAATCGGGTAAAACCCGGGCGTTGCCCGAGTCATTCGGCTAGTACTTTATATTTACTCATTTATTTTATTTTAAAAAAATATTTATCATCGAATTATCAACATATATAGTCACGACCGTCCTCAATTCCTCATGTCACGGATGCGCGCGCATCATCATTAGATCATTATCATTATCTAATGATAATAATAATAATAATATTATTATTATTATTATTTTAATATCAACATATATAGTCACGACCGTCTTTCCTCAATTCCTCAATTCCTCATCGCTGTCACGGATGCGCGCGCATCATCATTAGATCATTATCATCATCTAATGATAATAATAATAATTATTATTATTATATTATTATTATTATTATTTTATTATTATCAACAAATATAGTCACGACCGTCTTTCCTCAATTCCTCATCGCTGTCACGGATGCGCGCGCATCATCATTATGATCATTATCTTCTATAGAAGCTTCTATCTTTATAATCTATATATATAAAAATGAATGTATGTGTGTGTGTGTCTTTTTGTCCTTTATGCCTGACCAAACCACTCATTGGAACGCCATGAAACTTTGGGAAGTTATTTAGTATAGTACTGGGAAGGTTTCTAGCAAATAAAATTTTTGAAATAACTTTTCGCTTTAAAATAATCAAGATAAATATTTTAATTTATCTGTTATAATTCAACAATCTGCTCTAAATATTATCATGATGATACGATGATTTTTTAATGTAGAAAATTAGGAAAGACAAAATTCAGGATGACACGGCAATTTATTTGAGACAAGAATAATGATACAATTCCAAGGCAAGATACTTTTCCTTTAACTTCCAATTACCGAGGGAACCAATTAATATTGATTTTATTCAACTTATCGAGTATTTTTCAAGGGACCGGGGAAAAAATGTTCACTTTATTGAGAGATTCGTTAGACAAACCTTTACTCGGGTAAAACCCGGGCGAAGCCGGGTACGTCCATACAAGAATAATGATAGTGATTAATATAGTGATTCAAATTTACGAGTTTCAAATTATTTATATTTTTTTATAAGTTTATAGAGAATTGTTTTAACAAATGTTCGTTAGACAAACCTTTACACGGGTAAAACCCGGGCGAAGCCGGGTACGTCCGCTAGTATTATATATATATATCCAAACAATTGTTAAAAAGAATAATAGAAGAAGTCATCTATTTATCTATATCTAGATTTCAAACTAATATTTTTCATCTCTCTCACTGTTTCTTATTATGATTATATCATAAGCACCTCTGAAGACATTACTGCAATGTTTTATATTTGAGATGAGCCATTCTCTCTCATCTAATGACTTCTATAATTGAAATATAGTTTGCATATATATATATATATATATATATATATATATACCAGGTCTATTAGTATGAAACGCGAAAACTTTCAGTGAATTCAAAAGTTCACCAATTCCATACAACAAAAGATTTTTTATTCAAAGTAATTGCCCTGATTAGCTATACACTCGGACCACCTTTCAGGCAATTTTCGAATTCCTTGTCTGAAAAATTCTATTCCTTTTGAGTCGAACCAGTCAACAAGCCATTTTCGGAGTATGTCTGAGTTCGAAAATTCCTGTTTTTTTAGGGCGTGTCCTAAAGATGTGAAAAGGTGGTAGTCCGACGGCGCTAAGTCTGGTGAGTACGGCGGGTGGGGTAAGAGTTCCCAGCCCAAGTCTTTTATGGTGTTTTTGACCACTGTAGCGTTGTGGGCTGGAGCGTTGTCATGCTGCTGTATCAGCTTGTTGTGCTTTTCACGCAATTCAGGTCTTTTTTCATTCAATGCCTCTCTCAAACTGGGCATTTGTTGCTCGTAGCGACTAGTATTGACCGTTTCGCCAGGTTTCAGGAGCTTGAAATATACTACGCCGGTCTGGTCCCACCATACGCAAAACATTGCCTTTTTTTCCTAAGCGATTGGGTCTAGGCTTCCGTTTTGGAAATTGGCCGAGCAGGCCCAACGACCTTTGGCGCATAGGATTGCTGAAGTGGATCGATTTCTCATCAGAAGTTACGATTCGGTGCAAAAATGACTACTTTTCATGCCTGGCGAGCAGCCCTTCGCAGGTTACCAGACGCCGTTCTTGCTGCCTTTCGCTCAACTCGTGGGGGACCTATCAGGAAAGCTTTTGGATCATTCTGAGGCTGTTTAAACGTAGGGAAACAGAACCTTGAGACACCTGGAGCTGTTTCGCGAGTTTCTCCTGCGTTTGGGTACTGTCGTCATCCAACAAAACTTGCAGTTCAGCGTCCTCGAACTTTTGGTGCGGTTTTCCACGTGGTTCATTATCAAGTTCGAAATCGCCACTTTGGAATTTTTTAAACCACCTGTAACACTGTGATATGCTCAGAGCGTGGTCGCCGTGAACTTCCTCGAGCATTCGGTGGGCTTCAGTGACACTTTTCTTCCAGTTGAAGGCGTACAACAAAACTTCCCGCAAATGGGCACTTTTTGGCTCGGAAATCACCATTTTCCACGGGCTCCAGAAATTTTCCCGATTTGAATTTTTCTAAAACTCCACGCATGCTGATGCCACGTGAGTCAAAAAACAAAATGCCTTCAACAGCGCCACCGTCGGCTCAAATAAAGTTACACAGCGCCCTCTGGCAGCCATTTTTGCGTTTCATACTAATAGACCTGGTATATATAATACTAGCGGATGCGTACCCGGCTTCGCCCGGGTTTTACCCGAGTGGAAGCTTGAATAACGATTATTATTGATAATAATATTCCGAAACACACAGAATATTATGATAATAATTATAATAATATTCGTTACATATTATATATGTATTTATATAATATATAAAATATATTTTTCGAGCAAACATATCTACTCTCTCTACTGAATAAATTTTAAAAAAGATATAGAAAAATAAAAATACGGGATCGAATCCCGCATTCTAAACTTTGTTAAGATATGTGAATAACCTTCACATATCATTCATTGTTGTAAATATCATAAGCTAAATTGTTCTTTTTGAGCGTCACCTAGTAAAGTTATACTGGAACCAGAACCAGAAGTTCCTTTAATCTTCCTCAGCCTCAATCTCTCATTGCCTCTTTTTATCTTTCGTGTCTTCTCCTCCCAACAGAAATTGTTTGAATAACATTTACTAATGATATCATATAAAATATACATCATATGTAACGTATATAAGTTATTATATAAAGTGTTTGTTTTGACTTTATCAATTTATTAGTGATGCCTGGAGGATATTGATCTATAAAAATAAGGGTCGCCAAAATTGACGCTAAAACTAAGCGTTATT